TGGCAAAGTTGGAAAACAAATGCTTGTTTTTATGAGTTGCGATTTTTAAATAATTTATCGCGTTTTTACTTTTCTGTTGATGTGCATGTTGGTTTGTTTATATTTCAGATTGTATAACTTTCCTTAACTTATATGATTCGGGTTTGTGGATGATGCTAATTTGATTTGTTAAACATGTCTGTTTTGCAGAAATTCCTTTTGCTTTGTTGATTGTTTGACTTTCTTTAGGTTTTGGTTTGTAAGAACTAGGTCTGGCAATTAAACAATCTTCGTGAATCTATTGCTCCTTACTTGGCGCTTTGTCTTTTGTCGTTGTTTAGAAATTGTTCTTCTCTTCTCTTCGACGTGCTTCCCTTCTCTTTTAAGTGGGGTTTCATTTTAGGTTTGAGCTCTTTTTAGTTATTTAATTTAACTTTAAACTTTATTGTTCAAACTTCTTAATTTGCTATATTGCAAGGTCTGTCCCTTTTTGAGCTGAATTACTCAATTATTGTTTTATGCTCTTTCTCATTTAATTCTTTATAAATATATTGTTAGTTTTTTTTGCACAATCTTTAACCTGTTGTATTTTAGTTTTTAAAATTTTTAATAGTATTGTACTAAGTGTTTTTCAAGCGGGTAAGAAAAGTCACCGTCATTTTAGATTGGTAATTGATTTTTTAGTACAATGTGTGAAAGTCGTTCGAGTTGCAAACTGAAAATTGGTGTTGGGAAATGTTTGATGAAAGGTTCTTGGTTGAAATGGGAGCCACTTTTTCTTTTCAGTGGTTGTGCTTGACAGGTTTAGAATAAGTCTGATGGATATTACGAAGCTGTTTTGGGTTCCTTGATCTCTTGTGGGTGGCGGGTATAAAATTATTTTTTAATTCTGTTGTGTCCAGATTTGTAAAGTGTTTTTACCTTGTCCTGTCATACGTGTATTGTTTTTTCTTTTGTGATACGAAAACAGCTACGTTTTCCTGCTTAATTTATAAAAATTTTTTCCAATTTTTCACGAGCATACCCTTGCTGCGGTAATCAGGCGATTTATTTAAATATTTTGTATTGTTGAAGGTTACTGGTTTTACTGCTGACTGTGTACCGAAGGTTAATTATTCAGTTTTCGGTTTTGTGTATGTTACGCTTTAAAGCAGTGTAACTATTTTATTCCTTGAAGTGAAGTAAAAGGATTTAATTGACAATAACGTTAACTACTTGTGGCAGCAACATGTTATATTGAAAACATCGACAGGGTCATTACCTAAGGGCGATATGTTAGAACTGAAGTTGGAAACTTGGTGCTGAGAGACGTTCATTGTCCTACTACCCTTATGTTATTCAATGTAATTTGGTTCAGTTTTTAGTAATGACCATAGGGGAAGTGGGTGTTTCAGAAGCGAGGAAGGCGTTCTACACGCGTGTGTTTCGTCAGTGTTTCTCTCCAGATGGTATGTTTGGACGTTCAGTTGCATTTTCCTTGCTGTGTGCCCAGTTTCCGTTGCACGTAGAGAAGTGGAACTGAATAGGACTATTACTATAGTTCCATTGGATTTTGGGCGGATGAGATCTCCTTTTACGGAGTTTGTTGAAGATTAATGGTTTTAGGAGATTGGCTAGTTTCTTCTGACTCGCGCAGCCGCCTTTGTGTCTTTTCATTAGAGGGAGCGCTATCTCAACAAGCATTTTCTTCCCCGAGTCGTCCACTCTCTGCTTTTATTTCTCTCAAAAACCCAGTGTTCGCATTAAATTCCTTCAAAAATATTCTTATCTGCGGTGACTCTAGAGGCAATTTGTTTGGGTATCAGTGGGCGAGCTTGAAAAACTTTGTTTCGCCCTTAACAGAACCGAAAAGGATCTTTGAAGTTAATCACTTTTCGTCGGCTGGAGAAGGATTAATAATTTCTAACGAAATAAACACGGTAGCTTCTGTAAATGATAAGATACTTTATGGCGGTGCTGGAGGCTCGGCTATTCGTTTGCTTGACCCAGAACGTCCTGACAAGGTTTTTAAATTTATTGTAGTTTTTAAGTCTTTGCTTCGCTGCTCTTACATTACTTTTTCAAATAAAGCGTTTGTTTTTTCTGCGTATTGTAACTTTTAAAGGATCTTGGGTATTGCGTTTTGAAAGTGTTTTAATTTACTTGGGCGCAAGTTACTTCTTTTTAGGTAATATCGTCGTTTGTTGGTCATACGGACTACATTAACGAAATTAAAGGTCGATCAGATCACGAATTCTTAAGTGCTTCTGAAGATGGAACAGTACGTTTATGGGATTTACGAATGAACCAAGTTGCGCATGTTCTACATATTTTTGAGGAGTCGCGGCTGAAAGAGCCAGGCTGTGGCAATGGAGTTTGCGCTTTGGACGTACAGGGGTCTTTTATGGTATTTTTTGTTTTCTCTGTTCTGTATGAGTGAGTTTAGTTGGATTTTAGCACTTTTGATGTCTGAGGAGAACCAGTGGATAAGTAAAAAATTGAAAAATTTCTTTTCTGTTGCAATTTTTCTGTTACTGTAACACGTAAAAAAAGGTTTAAAAAGTGCTTAAGACCACCAAGCAGCTGATAAATTTAACAGTTTGTTATGGGAAGAATTAGTTCCTAGCATGATAGAGGTGGATTCCAGTAATGCCATAGAACTTAGTCAACTCTTGCTATTTTCCTTGTTCCCTCTAGGTTTTCTAAGTTATCTGAAAGTATCTGATTTCCTTTTAGTATCTTTCATCTCACAGTTTGTTTATTCAGATATCAGAAGTTCGTAATTTCAAAGGCTTGTTCTTCTAATGACATTCTGAGCTGTTTTTTTTGAAATAATATTTTTTTTGTATTATATTTTTCCTTTTTCTCAAAAGTTCAAATTTTTTTTTGATTTTACATTTTGCTTTATCGTAGTTAGAGCCGCGATGAATAGTGCCTTGGGGCGCTCAGGGATTAGCGTAATGACTTGAGGTTAACAGGAGCATAACTGCGTGAAGCATGACAGAAAGTATATCCAGCTCTACATTTCAAACCACAAATTCAAAAACCTGATTTTTTTAAAATCGACGTTTTGTCGCCACAAAGTGTTAACGAAGAGGGTTAACATCTAATAATTATTCTCGCTAGAAGCCTCTTAAAACAGACTATTGCTTTTATTAAAACTTTCTTTAACTTTGTTTAACTGGGTTGAATTTTATTTCAATTTCAATGGCTTTCCTGATTAGATGTGGAAATAGAGGTTTTATGCAAAAAAAAAATTTAATTTGAAAAATATATATTTTTGAAATTCGATTTTGGATTTGCTCTTTTAATTGTTGAGGTATGTGGCGGTGACGTTAGCGCTTCAATATGGCATCTGGAATCGAGATCTTTAGCTACAGTACTGCCTTGTAGTGCACCATTCAATATACGTTACACAGTGGCTAAAATGGATGCTGAAAGGATTCTTGTTGGAAGTACATGCCCATTGCTTTTTGAAGTTAGTTTAAAGCAAACCGTGTTATTGCTTAACAAGGGTTTTTTGCGTGGTAACTAACTGGAAGAGGAAAATCAAGTATTTTGAAGCTGCAGTTTTGAAAGTCTTTTTTATATAATTGAGCGAAAACCAACTCTGTAACTCTTCCGTAGTTGTTTTTACGGATCCAATTTTTATGGTTTTGCAAATTTTTCGTTTTGTCTGTTGACTTTCTTTGAAAGACAGTTTAATTATAGTTTGATTACTCGGGTAAAAGTTTGGCGACAGTGAAGACAACGCCAGATTCTGTATATTCGATTGAATCGAATACTCATTCGGGGAGAATGATGACTGTGGTCGCAGGCGATTCACAGTATATCGATGCATTCTTAAGTCTAGGGTATGTATCTTTTACATTTGATACCTCCCAAAAGAATCTCTAAAATTTTTGTATTTTTGTTCCAAAATACTCATTTAGTATGTCGCGCTGGATCTCTTATTTTGAAGCTGTGACTAATTGTTTTTTTGTTTTACTTTGGTTGCACTTTGTGTTAGTTCTGCCGAAACTTATATTCCTAATTAAATTTTTAGACTGATTTCAATTGTTAAAGATATTATATAGTAATCGCACGTGGTAGACCTTGCTTTTGCGTCTTACAGTGATATAATTGTTTTAATTCTGCCAAATAATTTTTAAGTTTATGTTGACTTCACTTTGTTTTCTTTGTTTTGAAATTGAGAAAGCGTTTAATAATTTTTTTTTCAATTTTTTCTTATTATTTCTTCCAGTATCAACTTTGAGTACAGTCCATTTGTTAAATTTCTAACACTCTGCATACATTGTTTGTAGTGTCACTTATCGTTACTGGTAGACGATAATTATGCTGAAAAAAAATTTTTTTTAAAGCAAATATTCTGTATCATCTCTCTGCATTTTGCTGCTGCAATCGGTTGAAAAATAAAGATCGTTGATGTAATTCATTCGACTGGTTCCAAAAAATGACGCACACAAATCTGTAGTCTTTAAGTTTCCAATGTAAAGTCGCATTAAAATTTTGAACGATGCAGCTATCGTGAAAGAACAGTAATTGTTAGTAATTTTTTTTATTAGTTTAGGTATTAGAAAGAAAAATCTTAGTTATTGCTCAAACTTAACTTAATTCTTTTAACGCATTGTTCCGCATAAAAAAAATTTTTTTTGCTTAAATCATCTCATGACGACTTAATATGTTGGTTAGCTGTTTTTTCTACCTATCCACTGTTATGAATTGACAATAATTCAGTTGAAGTTTTTGTTACTGACATCTGATGACAAACAGAAAAAGAAAGAAGAGGAAAAAATTTGTTTTATCAACCAACAATACTACTGGCTTTAAAAATTGCTTTAAAAAAAAGAAAAACAAAATTTTACTTGTCATTTTAGATGAATTATGAAATAATGGAATTTGGATAAGTGTGTTGTTTGTTTTTGTGTAATTTTTGTCTTAAACAACACAACTGTGCGACTTGTATTAGTGCTGTTGCTGTTGTTGCTGATGTTGCTGCTGCTGCTGTCGTCGTCGTTGCTGTTGTTGTTTTTGTTTAACAAAAAAAAAAAA